TTGTTTTAAACAATGACCCTATGATTCTTGCTCTAATACTATGATAAAGAAGACAACAAATAGGGAAAAAATAATTGACAGACTAAGTTACGAAGCCATCTTTGCTACATATAAGTGATAAAAGCCAACTTTGCTCAAGACATGTTGTCTATTTTACAAAAAAAAAAAAATGTCTAAAGTGCAACAACAACTTGCATTTTTCTTTCAAGCACATCCTTAAATCCTCAAGGTGCGAGAAGTCAATCAGAGTGAAGAAGCTAATTTACAACAATAGTGGAGAAAGATGCCTTCCTGGTAAACGAGTCATGCAACAAACACTACAACGTGGTGCTGGTGATGCACTGAATATTCCCAACAAGAATTGGCCTATTTCTTCCCCTATCTGGGGTATGGTTCAGTAATTGATGCCTCATTTACAGAGCTTGGAATTGAAATTCTTTCGGTATTAGATTGCTCAACTTCCACCTCTTCCACCATGCTTTCCGATCCATGGCTCCGGAAATCTGCTGGACGATGTCGAGTTGGTAGGGTAACCGAGCTACTATTGAGTAAAGGTGGCAAATCAACCCACTTAACTAAATTTACCCATACCCGTCCATGAATAGATGGGTATGGATATCTTAAATTTTTGTATATGGATATAAATGGGTTAGGTATTATTGAGTAACCCATCAAACCTAATTAACCCATTTAGAATTCTCTTCTCCTAAATCTCTTCTCTTCCCCCACCCATTTTTCTTTCCAAATTTTTCATTTTGTCATGATGTTAACTACTTTTGTTTCATTATTATTATTATTTGTTGGTTTTATTTTATTATTTTATTTTCTCTTAATTTGTTAACTTGCTCATTTTTCAGCATTACCAATTTATGATAAATTTAAGCCTCTTTTCTTATCTTTCTAAAATGAAATTTTAAATTTATATATGGAAAAAATGTTAGGGGTTCAAAATTTTTGAATTAAATTTTTATATTAACCTTTATAGTACTTAGTTCAAATTTTTATATTCTTATTATTCAATTATTAAATAATATGTAATTTTGTGAAATAGAGTATAAATGAAAAAAAATTGGTAATTAGGCTTATTAAACATTATAAGTAAATATTTAAAACTAATGATGGGTACAAAGAGCGGTATAAATTGATAACTTAGTTTGTAAAAATGAATTTAAATGAATTTACAAAAAATTAAAATAAATGGGTTATAAATGGGTAATTGGGTTACCCAATTCATTTTTTAATTTATCCATTTATACCCATCTAATTAAATGGGTACAAATGGGTTGACTCACTTATACCCATTATCCATTTTACCCAACCCAAACACGCCCAAGTCACCCATTTTGACACCTCTACTATTAAGCATATTGACCAGGGAAGCCATTGTAGGCCTTTTACTGACATATTCTTCAACACATAGTAAGCCTCATTGGATGCATTGAATGACTTCATTTTTGGCAAAAGAATCTCCAATTCTTGAATCCAGAAGAGTTAAAGGTTCGCCACGTCTCCAATGCTTCCAAACCCTTTTGAAATAATTCAACTTATAAGGAGTTCACACATAAAAACTTCAATTTGTTCAACCATTTATACGTGTCACAAGTAATGCCACCTTTCGAATCGACATCAGTAAATGCTCTACCTTCAAAGTTTAACCATACAAAAGGTTTAGAATCACAACCTTCCTATCCATCCTTTTATATGGTCTGCCAAATTAGTTAAAATGACTTGTAAAAAGAAAAGGAAGCAAACTAGTCTTTACTAAAATTTTGAACCACTGTACTGTGTGTAACTATGAACAAATGACGAATGATAAGGCCTAATGGCATCATGACGGTGAGGATTCGCATTGGACGTCTAAATATTTCCACTAGGGGTGCCAAGTTAAAATCCTTGACTGCAATTGTGCAAAACCACAGAAAATTAATAAAAACAGTAGTAGAGGTCTTACATAGCTTACGAGGTCTTCAATTCGCACTTACATAGCTTACGAGGTCTTCAGAATCTTCAGATTTTTGGAAACTACTATTCTTCTTGCCTGTCACAATTTCTAAAATAAGAACCCCAAAACTGAATACATCTTACTTTATCGAAAACTGGCCCCGTCTCATATATTCAGGACTCAGGAGCCATGTAACTACTGCAAGCCACAATGATTGTTATAAACGGTGCTAAGATGACCCCAATGAGGCAATGAAATGGAAGTGTAGATAATTTTCCATGAAGATTCAAAGTCATATTCCCTACAAATACCACTGACCACGTGCTTTGGCCTGCTGCAAATTTCTTACAGCCAACTATCGAACAATAGAAGTTAATTCAGATAATTGTTGTTGAATTGACGAGACATTTACCTCATTTACTCGATGAATATAGATATCTTCCCTTGTGCCAAATTGTTGAGAATTTTCTGCCATCCCTTCTATCAATTCCCAAACTTCTCGAGGGGTCTTATTCACCAATGCACCTCCATTGACAGTATCTATAAGACTTCTATCTGCATAAAGCAAGCCTGCATAGAAATACTGAATCATTGCTCACTAATTTGGTGCTGGGGACAACTTGTACATAGCTTCTTAAACCTATCCCAGAACTCATACAGAAATTCTCCATGCTGCTGCTTATTTGAGCTTATTGCCCAAAATATTTGAGCTTATTGCCGCAGCTATTCTTCAAGAATGCGATGAAGTACCGAAATAAGAAGAAAAGGAAAGAAGCGTCTGTCTGTCTCTTGCCAAAAAGATACCTCCTGACTAGTCTCTCGCTTCGAGAAAGATAAAGAAACTATCATGTGTCCTATTGTTCTGTTTCCTACTCCTCCTAAAACTGCTCCTCTAGTCCCTATAGAAAGAATGGACTAGTGTCCTATTACAAATGAATGACTGTCCATTCGGCCAACTGAATCCAATCCTCACGACTTTGATTCGAAGTTGGAAATATTCTCACGAGCCAAATCCCAAATTTTCTGGAGGTGCAGAGAGTTATTTTAAATACCAAATCACGTCTTTAATCCCTTTTTGTTTCAAATTCCTATGATCAACACCAATTATCAAAAATAAGTAAAATCTACCAATTAACGCAATATTTGATAAAATACAAGAGGAAAACAATCATAAAATTAATAACAAAAATGCATATTTTTATCTGAAATCTGAATCCATTAACTGATTAAATTGTTAATTATTAAATAAAATACATTTGAGTATATATTATTTTTAGTATTAAGTGAATAGTTTATCACTTATTTTTGGAAGTAAATTTTACCTAGAAAATTCAGTGACACTTAATTAATTCAGATGCTCAATTTTTTGTTATCAAACGCATCTAAACATATTAAAATCTAAATACATTAATTTTAAGTGCTGAATTGGACTATCAAACAGAGCCTAAGTCTTCACTTTAGATTTCACCACAAGATTAGGGAAATTATAGTATTTGGTTAAATTCGGTTCATTGGCAAGAGCGAATTTCAATGGTTTGAGTGAAATACATCCTTAGCAAGGCAAGAGCATTAGTGATAATTGACTATTTCATCCAAAGTTAGGTACATTAGATGGATTATATATCCTAAAACATTTGTGTTTAGTTGAGTTTTTTCAAATTGTTAATTTTCCTTGCATTGTTTTAGCATTGTGATTATTTTACTTAGTTGAAATTCTTGATTAGTTTAAATAATAGAGTGAGCTAAAAGCTTTAATAGTTAAAAGTAATTCTCATAGGATCAATCCTAACTCCCTAGTAATACGAGCCATGACCTTTATACTTGCAGTGAACTAGGGAATTAGTTAAAACTTAGAGCCTAGGCTAGAATCTCGTCGGGTGTAGCGTTATAATTGATAGACTAAGCTAGGAAGTCTAGTTTTTCTATCTGCAAATGATAAAACCTCAAGACATGTTTATTTTTTTTTAAAAAAAAAAACCTAAAGAGCGACAACAACTTGCATTGTTCTTTGAAGCACATCCTAATACCCTTAGGGTCCGTTTGCTTCAATGTAAAATTTTTTTTCCAAGGAGAACATTTTCAATGAAAAAAATTTTCCTGAAAAAATTTTCTTTTCCCTTCATTTTCAGATGTTTGGTGCAGTTTTAAGAAAATTTACCACAAAACTAAAACATACAAGAAGAAGATTCCCCAATAGAACCCCTCCAACTACCACCATCCCATGTACATTGGATTTACAATCTCAACCCAGAGAGTCATCCAATCTCCAAATCTATCAAACTCCATAATCAGGAATTCATAATTTCTCAAACCAATTACACATTGTACCAATGAAGATTCAAATTAATAATATGTCAATAAAAATTGCTTCAATAATTAAAACCTTATAATTGATCAACCATCATATGGACAAGTAGCTCTTGAATTCTGTTACAAACTTTTCTGCACAAAAGTCTTCCTCCACTCTATCTCTTTCACTTTTCTAGATTTCCCTCACCCAAAAACTTATCAAGACCCACTCTTGGGATAGATTTTCTACATCTCCATGGATGCATTGTTTATGCTGGCATGGGAGGAAAGGAGTAGAATTGGCGAAGATGAGGAGGAGGGAAAGGTGGCTAACAATGGCGTTTTTCGTAGCAGGCACAGGGATGGATTTTTAACAATAGTCTCGGTATTGGTTTTTGTTATATGTTACGAGCATCTTAATAGGTAAGCCTTGAAATGGTTGATAAGCTTCATGAGTTTGATTGAAATTAACTTCCGTATGCCTGCTCCATAAGTCATTTTACGTCCTGTAGCGTAAAACATTTTACATTGGAAAATATTTTCCTAACATCTTCTGCTGCCAAACACCAGAAAATCCAAAAAATATTTTCAGTTCAAACAAACAGACCCTTAAGGTGTGAGAAGTCAATCAGAGTGAAGAAGCTAATTTTCAACACTAGTGGAGAAACTTTAGATACCTTCCTGGTAAATGAGTCATGCTACCAGAAATACAATGTGGTACCGATGATGCACTTGATGTTTTCTTCTAGTATTGCCTTTGTTTATTCCTTTATCTAGGATATAGTTCAGTAATTGATGCCTCATTTACAGAACTTTGAGTTAAAATTCTTTCGGTATTAGATTGATCAACTCCCAGCTCTTCCACCCTGCTCTCTGATCTATTGCTCCGGAAGAATGCTGGACGATGTGGAGTTGGCAGGATAACAGAATTACTATTCAGCATGTAGACCACGGAAGCCATTATAGGTCTTCTACTGACATCTTCTTCAACACACAGTAAGCCAACTTGGACACATTGAATGACTTCATTTTGGGCATAAGAATCTCCAATGCTTGCATCCAAAAGAGCTAAAGCTTCGCCACGTCTCCAATGCTCCCAAACCTTTTTGAAATAATTCCACTCATAAGGAGTTCACACCTAAAAACTTCAATTTGCTCAAACATATAGGTGTCACAAGTAATGGCACCTTTCCATTAGGCATTAGTAAATACTCTACAGTCAAAGTTTAACCATACACAACCTTCCTTTCCATCATTTTATGTGGCCTGTCATATTAGTTAAAATGCCTTAAAACAAAAAGAAGTAAATTCTGAGCTACTCTACTATGTTTAACAATGTAGAAATGGCAAATGATAAGTCCTAGTGCTGTCATGATGGTGAGGATTCGTATTGGACATCTAACTATTTTCATTAGGGGTGCCAAGTTCAAATCCTCCACTGCAAATGTGCAAAAGCATAGAACAACAGTAAAAACTGTAGTAAGTTTTTGCAATTCGCACTTACATAGCTTACGAGGTCTTCGGAATCTTCAGATTGCGAGAAGGTGCTGTTCTTTTTTCCGGTGATAATTTCCAAAATTACAACCCCAAAACTGAATACATCTGACTTTACCGAGAACTGGCCCCTCCTTGTGTATTCAGGAGCCATGTAACCACTGCAAGGCTCAATGATTGTTATAATCAGTACTAGGACAATCCCAATGAGGCTATCGAATGGAGATGTACATAATTTTCTATGAAAGATACAACGTCATTTCATGCGAGAAATATAGTATGGGCATAAAACTTACAATGTCCCAGCAATTCTATTTGTATTTCCTTCAGATTGATCAACTCCACAAATCCTTGCCATGCCAAAATCTGCTATCTTTGGGCTCATATTTCCATCCAATAATATATTGCCTGCTTTGAGATCACGATGAACAATTCTAAGGCGAGAATCCTCATGCAGATAAAGAAGTCCTCTTGCTATACCTCCAATGATATTGTAACGTCTTGCCCAATTCAATGATCGTTTATTTTCTGAATCTACACAAATTTAAACACAATATATTGTGTTAGCAATGAAAGTTACCAAATTAATAATTCCAGAAAGCACAATCAAATAGGTAAATTACACTCTTGGTTCTTAAACTATAAACACACTCTCAATTTAGTTTTTAAAATTCTATTGTGGACACTTCACCCTAAAGGTTTCAATTTATCCCACTTCAGTATAATCAGTAATGAAATTATTGAAATGAATGAAATATTTTGCTCTACTTTGATCATCACTTACCTATTATCGTTAGTTTTGACAATTCATTTAGTTGTTATACTGATGTGTGACAAATTTGATACTTTAGAGGATGAAGTAACTAAAATTAAAGTTTAAATACTAGAGTTGGAGTGCGTCTATGGTTTAAGGTTCTAAACTGGAATTCACTCCAATGTGTTATCTATCATTTCGCATAACATGGTCGAATCAAGTAAAATAGAACAAGATAACATGGACCAATAAAATATTACTTCAAGTATGTCTAGTTCGACCCACCAAAGAGAAAGTAGTCAAGGCTTTTGTTGGGAACAAATTCATAGATGAGTATCTTTTCTTCTCCTTCCAGGCAAAATCCCAACAGTCGAACTAGATTTCTATGTTGAAGCTTTGCAACTACTACAATTTCATTTTTAAATTCTTCTGCACCTTGCCCTGAGCTTCTTGACAGCCTCTTAACAGCTACTTCTTGTCCATTACCAAGTTCGCCCTGAGTAAACATGCATACTAGAATCTATTTGAAATATTAAACGTGAGATATTCAAATTCACAAAAGCAAAATATTTCATGCAGAGACCTTGTATACACGGCCAAATCCACCTTCGCCAATTTTGTTATCCACAGAGAAGTTATTCGTGGCAATTTGAATTTCAGTCAAGCTATACTGTAAGGATTCGGCCGTTAAGATATCAGCAACTCCATCTACACCTGTAATAAGCAAATATACTCGATTTAATGTTAGCTCAAAAACCTTTAAGATGTCCTGTAATTGCTATGAATAAAAATTACCAGTTGTTGCGAGTGCCCCATCAACATATCTCTTCCTCAATCTTCTTTTCAGGAAAACAAAAGACATCATAAATAGCATAACTGCAACAATGATTAGTGGGACAGCAATCCGAAAAGCTGCTCGTAGGAGGCTTCGCCCTTTGCCTGGATGAACAGAAGTTTGTTGAGCACCAAAATTCAGCTTGTAGGAAATCAAGTTTGTTGAACTTCGGGTTAGTGTCACTCTGAGACAGCGTATTGCATATTCACAAGGCTAAGCCAAAAATACAGTATTTGGAAAAAAAAATTTAATATTCTCTAAACATGTTTTTTTTTAACCGCATCTGGTACGCTTCATGTTGACTAGGAGTGGCAATTTTCAATACTACCTAAAAATACGACACAAACCTAACATGAAATTAATGGGTTTGTATTGAGATTTCGCGGGTTCGGATCAGAATCGAATCGAACCGATGGTTCTGTTAAGACTACAATGGTAAATTAGTAAATTAAAATTATATTTTAGATCATTCGGGTTGATCCACCAACCCGAAATTTTCAGATTTAAGTCAGGTATCTAGACCCGTTTTGGATTGGTGGGTCGTGTTTGGATCAATAGGTTATCTATTATACTCGAGTCTCAACCTAACCCGCCAAACCGAATCTGACTCGATTGCCACCCCTAATGTTGACGGTAAATAAAACAAAAGTTGATAGTCAATTTTTAATCCTAACTATTTTTGTTATGGATTAACACAATTAAACTCCCCTAAGGTTTCAACAATTTACAAAACTTAGCTTTGTGTTTGGACCAAATAATGGCCGCCCTTTTAATTGAGGCTGTTAAGACTCACATTTGGGTCTGTGTTGGTGGCAATTTGTAAGAAATCCTATAAACAACCTATCATCTCCAAGATATGCCTGACTCATGATGACAATCAGAGCAAAACCCATTCAAACTTGTAAATAAGAACTACCACTTCCACTAGCACCCTTGTTCCTACATACTCCATTTCCGGGACTATGAATATTCGATCCCACTTCCTATTTCATTCTATCCCATTTTTTTTTATTGTATCACTATTTATCTTTCATAAATATTATACTTTAATTTTTTTTTCTTTATTAAGTTCTAATAACTATTAACAAAGTAATATACAAAATTCAACAAACCTCAAAAAATCAAAATACAGAGAAAAGACTGTTGTATTTTATTTTTTTTACTGTATTAATAGTTATTTGACAACAAGGAAACAAAAAAAAAAGTAAAGATTATGTTTACAAAAGAGAAATATTAATATAATAAAAAGTGGAATAAAAAATCGAATATGAAATATAACTGAATATCTATTCCCATTTGGCTAATCAGAGGTTTATTACCACTGCCACCAGAACCACCATAACGACCACCTTATTTTATTGTACCTACTCCTATTCAATTCCCTCGAGATCTGGCATCACCAAGTAATTTTCTCCTTTCTATCTTTCCTTTGCTTCATACGCTTACATAAATGATACATACATACATATATAAATGCATATATGATATTTTGTTTGTGGAATTTGAACATATGTAATGATAGTGGTTGTAGAGGAGATTTGGGCAACTTTTTTTTTTTTGTTTCCCTAGAATGAAAGGTAATGTAGATTTTGAAAACTTTTAATGTACGGCATAGTTTGGTAGTCTGAAATTGTGTGCTAAACGGTTAAAACCGAGTCAATGAGAAGATTGGCTGTGTTAAGTAATGTTCCCTACTTTTCGGAGCTCGGAATCAGGAGGCCATGGAGTGAATAGTGAGGTAAAGGGTAAAGACAAATGTTTGTTAAACAGAACGAGGAGGAGAAGAGGTTGACCATTGTCCGTTAACAAGGACAATGCTATACATTGATGGGTATTTTGGACATCTAGCAAGTCTTTCTGTTGACCATTCAAGTTTAAGCAGATTAAGTAATGCCGAAGGGAAGGGACTTCTTGTCATAGGCTTACCAGCATTGATTAGTAATGGGGTCAAACTTTAAGATGCCAAATGTCATGAGAGATAAATGCACAAAAGATTTTGTATCATTTCCTATTCCATTCCTTGTCCCACTTTAGGTTATATTACCATGTATCTTTTATGAATATCTTATTTTAATTCTTTTTTCTCTTAGAATTTTAACAACCACTAACAATGTCAAAAACAAAGTGCAATAGACTAAGAAGCCAAAATTTAATTTAAAAATCATATTTTTTAATGAATTTTCTACTATATTTTTTGTTTCTTGATCATATATTGGTTTTTAGTTGATATATTTTGATTTTTTTTAACGCTATTAGTCGACATTGGACCTCAAGGCAAAAGGAAAGCATGATTAAAATAGAATGTTCATGAAGAGTACATGGCAATACAATAGAAGGTGGATAGAAAATAGGAGAGAAGATCCATTGTGAGATAAATGTAATTAAACATTTAATTACTATGAATTTTAATAATTAACTTCTACAATTGATGATTTAGTGCTTCACCTCATAATCTCCTAATGCTTTCGAAATGATCACTTTACCCCCTCCCTTTTTGCTTTCTGGTGAAGTGGATTGCTTTTTTTTTTCTCATGGTTAACTGAACTTGAAAGTGGGTAAATACGGTATTTGGTTGATTTCATTGCTAATTTTTGTTTTGAACATTTTTTCCCAATTAATTTTCATTTTGGATCTTTAAACTAGACATGTACACCTACTTTAGTCCTTAAATTTTAATTTAGGACATTTTATTCTCTAAAGTATGAAATTCGTCCTTAAACATTATTTTTTTTAATCTTGACAACAAGTTCTGTCACAAAACAAAGAAAAACTTAATCGCTCCACCTTACAAAAAGACAACTGAATAAGGTAAAATTGTGATTTTGAAACCACAAGATTGTGAGGCAAAACGTTAAACCACAAAGGGGTAAATTAATTTACCTATTTTAATGTTAGATTTCAAACAAGCGAAAAAAAACATATTACACTAGAATGTAAAATCTTTTACATGCATACAATGCATCCTCGATCTTCTTCAATGCCTTTGTTTAAATTTGGGAAAACTAAAATGGATTGTTCTTTGCATTACGCCATAATAAGTTCATTTGAAAAATTTTTAAATCAACATTGTCCATAATATACCTCATTAATTATTTTATGATTAATCATTACAAAATTTTCCATGATCTTGAACTCTTTTATGCTATTTAAATGTTTCTTGCAAATTGAATGCAAATACTTTCTCAAATGGACTTTCTCATTATGTATGCTGATCAACTAATCAAAACAAAATAATATAGTAGATAAATGGATAAATTACTAAAGGAAAACAAAGTGGAGAGAAGGCCAACCCATTTTCGTACATCAAACCATCATACCTAAGGGGATTCTATAATGGCCACCATACTGCTATTTCAATAAACATGCAATAGTTAATCACTGTCCTAATGGTTGCAAAATGACTAAGTATGTACATAATTATTGGCCTAAGAAGTATGAGTCCACTTAAAATTCTTCCATAAAAATGACAATTCATGATGAATGTGATCAGTACGACGTGATTATGCTGAAATCTTAACATTATGTATTCCACTATTGTATAAAGTTACGTGGTGGCCTCCTTTAGGTATGTATTTTATTTTGAGATTGAATCCACACCCTCTCATCTTATATCCACATATTGTACAAACTTCAATACTATTAATTCCAATTATAAATGCTTGAAGGCATGGATTCAAATGAAGGGTGTGTGGATTTAATTCTTTTCATTTTCGGCCCGGAATCTGATACAAACAAGAAATCGTAAGCCTGCATACAAGCCCAAAAAAGACTGCTATATATAACAATGCTCCAGAACTTACCTTTAGTGGAACTAGAAGGAGGACCACCAGGAGAGTTTGCCGGAAGCGGTGGTGCAGAGGATGTAGGCGGTGGTGCAGAGGATACACTACCGTAGAAGGGGTAAACCTCATACCTTACCTTACAGCTTGGTAACATCACTCTACCTCCCACTCTGCCATTACAACACGAGGGCAGCAATGATATAGCATTGCTGAGACAAGTTTCGCAGTCTAGAGCGGATAGATCTGGTGTGCACTGCGCAAGGGTATACAATTTCTTGTTACCCGTGGAATAGTCGCCTTCTCGAACAGCAAACATTTTCGCCCCCGTTCTATTTGCAGCCTGAACCGCAATGTCATTCACCAGGTTTTCCAACGTTGTTTCGAACTTCTCCTGGTCCCGTCCAGTGACATTTTGTACATTGTACATAGCAAAAACAACGTAGACATCGACCCTGGAGAAAATTGCCTGGTTAGAAAAGCGTAAGAAGCACTCCTCGTACCAAACAATAGCATCCTCGTGATACGGGCACTCCTCAATTACTTTTATGCCGGCTATTGCTACGCATTGTCCACAAACGTCAGTGCTGACATCGCCTCGACAGAGAAAGAGGCCATAGACCGTGTTAGAAGGGTCATTGCCAGTACTGATATTGTAGAAACCACCGGTGTCTGTCCGAAATGCATTTGAAGATAGAGCGGCAAGCACGGAATACAGATTGTTACTGTAAATCCTGCCGGAAATACTGTTAGGTTCGTATGTAGTATTTACACAGTAAGACGAAAGAAAATTAACGGGGCTAGTGAGTGTGGTATGAAAGCTAAGCAAACAAAGCATGCAATATTGGAAGTGGAACAACAAATTTCTGGAGATCATTTCACAGGCAGGGATCAAAAGAATAAAAGGCTAAAAATACACAAATTACAGTTGTACAATAGGAGCCAAAGTTTTGGTTGAGGGACCATGAAAATTGTACAGGCCAGGAAAACGTGTAGTCTAGGAAGACTTATTTTAGCAAGTCGGTCAACGAAGTGCCTGGACGGGAACCATCAGCTGAATGGTCTGTAACCAGAATTCTCTCTATACGTCCTTTATGGATTTTGACGGGAGTGGAAAATTCGAGGATGCTGACAATATTGAAGAATGTCATTGTGACAGATTAATGGAGACCAAGCTAAAAGCTAGTGCTCTAATCGTCCCAAATTCAATCTCTATTTGGTAGTAGAATCGTTCAACACTACTGGGTTTTAACTTTGGATTATTCTTTCTAAACATTGTCAGTGTAAATCCATTTCACACTAATAAGATGCATGACACGTAAATTTTATTCAAAATTTAAATTCATTTTTAACAAATATAGCATGCACCTAGATAAAAAAATAAATCTTTATGCTGATGGTGTAGATTAGATTAATCCTATTTTTAAGAAAGAGTTCTTTAGATACGCTTGAAAAATCATGTAAAGTCTATCAAATTGTTTCTTTTGTCGCCTTTATACGAATGGACCCCTACATGGAAAGAAATATCCAGCCATTTCGCCACAATTGACAGCCAATTTTATGTCCGCCACTGCTTTTCAAATCAAGTTTAATTTTCTAACGTATTTATTTACAATGGTGCCTGCTGCATTAGTAAGATATATCTTGGGCTGTAAAATAGCCAGGGTTCATGCCTTAGTTGATACAGGAGTAACCACTTTGCTAGTTGCCTGGACATGAGCCATCGGATGACTAGTCTGTAACTAAAACTTCAATACGTCATTAAAGGATGCTAACAACATCAAAACAACGTCATTGTGAAGGATAATTGTAATTCTACTAATGCTCCAAAGAATAAGTTCGACCCAAATTTAAAAAAAAAAAAAAAAAAGTTGACCCAAATTGAATCTCTATATTGCAGTTCAACACCGGTTTTAAGAAAGAGTTCTCTAAATATAGTTCAAAGGGTAAATGATACATGGCCCGTGGATTCATTCATTGTCACATGACTCTATTAATATTTACAAATATCCATATAAACTTTCTATGGTTTCATATAAAGTGAACATTTGACGGAAAAATAACCTCTAAATATATTAATTTGAAATACCAGTATTACCTTTAGGGTAAATTTCAGAAACCTCCCCTGAGATTTAGCACCCCTTGATTTTGAGAAATCACACTTACAACCCTAGGTAGAATGAAGTGACATGCTGTCCTAATCAGTAATGGAGAAATTACCATGCTACCCCCTATTATTAAGTATTTCTTGTGCAGGAAAATGCTGCAAAAAAAAAATTGAAGCTATATTAATTCAAAATTGAAAGAACATGATTCCTATCATCTTTGGCCCACAATTTGAGTGCCATTTTTGTTATATCAGGGCTTTTCCAAGTGGTTTTAACGAGGCTAAAGGCTCCTTGCAGTCCTTACTCTTCGTTTTTGAAGTAGTACAAGTACTTCGTGTCATCAAAATGTATGATAAGAAGACTTATTAATTATTGTATTTTTTTATGCATTTCATCTGGTGGAATATGCATTGCCATATACTAATCTTATAATATATAGCAACGCATTGATGCACTAGTTGCTTGGAAAGACACGTTGATGCATTAGTTGTACGAACAAATATGAATAGTAGCACACTTTTTGGAATCTTAGTTTGGCTTAGACTTAGCTAAACATGTGACCATGGAAATGCACATCTGATTGCATTGTCACAAGTACCACACAAAACAGGTTCAACTTCCTCAGCTTTCTACTTTGAATTGCCTATGACTATGAAGGCTAAAACAGTTGGTGAACAATTATAGCATTGCATGTTGTACTTGGACTTCATCAAATTGATTTTGTAATCTCAATAAAAATGTAGATAGCAATCAGTATTAGATTGATGCATCAGTTGCTCCAATTTGCCCAAAGAAAATCGATGGTGAATGATATTGTTATCTTGTTTCCAAGCTACTTTATACATCTTAAGCACCAGAAGGTTGGAATGGTCCTGCCCAACGGTCCTCTACAGTATCAATGTTAAGAAGCTTCTTGTGCTTATTGCACTTACACCCCTTTAGCTTCTAAAATAATATCACATTATAGCTTTGTTTTTATTTTCATATTGTAAATTCAAAACTCATCTTCCAGCAGGGCAAAAGTGGAACAGAAAAATAGTCTCTCTCCTATAAACAATTTTTAAATACAATTCTTATGCAAAAGGGCTGACAATGTGATGAAAGTTGTCATTCTAAGGGTGGTAAGTGTGATTTCTGAAAGTTGGGGGGGCTAGGTGTGATCGGAGAAAACCTCGGGGGAGATTTCTGAAATTAACCCTTACCTTTATTTAAACATTAATTCAAACAATGACCAGACCATCTTACATAAAATTATAGGAGAATTATGTAGATAAATGCGAAATTTATAGAGGATTAAAATAGATATTCATACAAATCATACGGGACATTAAGTATATATCATTATTTCGTCACGTGCATTTTTGGAGCACTTCTGTTCAATCACTATAGCCATTGATGTTTTCTGTCTATTTATCATATCCCATGAAATCATAGGGCGTTATGGGGATATTTTGAAATCTAAGGGGAATCATGTGCCAATGAAAAACCAAGGGAGGTTATGTGTAATTTACGACAAGATCATGTAAAGTCTGTCACATTTTAATTGGACTAAAACTTTCCAATAATTTTCATTGTCAAAAATGCCAATAAATTGTCACACTACTTTTAATTCTCTACGGTTCCTTGTGTTTGGTTAAGTGGACAAATCATAAGACAAGCATTAATTTTGAAGGAAAGAAACGTCTACCCATTTTTTAATGACCAATTCCATGTCTGTGCTGGATTTTCGAACATATTTACAAGGGTGCCTGCAGCATTAGTAAGACGCAACTCAAAAGGTAAAAATAAACAATTTTCATGCCTTAGGAGCGACCACTATGATCTTTGTTGGTCTTTGTATTTGCAAGAAACATGTCACAATAAAGCTACACGTGTAACTCCTCATTTATATTATCAATTTTGATAATCCATTTGCTTGTTAGCATTTCATTGCAATTCTTATTTTAAATTTAACTTTTCAGGATTGTTTTTCTATTCGTATTGTTTCTTTGTTCATGTTAAGAAATTATTGTGCAGAATTTTATATTTGGATTCAATATTTTCATTATCAAATTTGTCCAAATGTTCATGTTGTTCATAAAATGCTTAATCTAGTTTAGATATTTATTCTGTTTGGTAATTATTATAAGGCGCATTCTTCTAGGACCTATTAGTATTTTATTTTCATATATGCTGAAATTATCAAATGGGAATAATTTGTATTGTTTCAGCCATTATTAACAGTTATGATTGCCCGAACAGGAAAAAGAATAATAGATTTTTGTAAAACTCAAAAGAATTTAAAAGACAAAGGATTTTTCAAGAATGAAAAGGTACTGCTATTCTCTTGCTCCACATTGGAACTTTAGCAAACCTAAATACCTAAGATCAGATAACTGCAGAAGTGTTAAGATTGAGGCAGGTGTGGAGCTACGTTGCCCCCTCCCCACCTTAGCTTCCGAAAAATACCCTACTAGTTGTGAAGATTTTTAATAAGTTTTAATAGTTGCACTTCTTGAAATTAAAAGAGTGGGGGTAATATGTAAAACACGTACACCTATTAATATTTAACAAAGAGAGTTTCAGATGATCAATTACTTATGTAACACTAGTAATTAAATAATAAAATTGACAATGAATTAGCTCTTATTTTGTAACACGACCAAACGCGATGATCTAGTTTTTAGGAAAAAAATCAAGGAACAAATAAAAGGTGAAAATATATATATTTATCCTTCCACCCCTCTCCACCCCAACTATTAGGTACAAGAAAGAGTCCTTCCTTTGACCATTGACCAACTTTAGCATGGATTTTTTAGTCTTAAAGCTTTAGTTACTTTAGTCTTAAAAAAGTTTTCCAACGTTGCAATATTTCTGCTGATCTGTTAACTTGTGGTTTAAAAGAGGGTTGAATTACTCCGGGTGTCTCAGAAGTTGGATAAGACCAAGGATGTGTCGAACTCAGTCAGGGCTAGCTAAATACGACAGGCGGACCCATATTAAGATTGTTGTGGATGATTTCTCTAGTGATTTGGGTAAAGACCTTGAAAGGATTAAAACGGCGATTGAAGAGTTCACATTTGCATATTTTTCTAACTTCGAAGACAACACCAAATAAAAAAAAAAACAAAAAAAAAGTAATTATTGCAAATGTAGAGCTAAATCTATGATTTGCAGACTCCAATTCCACGATTTGCTGAGGGAGAGAAGAGAAAAGGAAAAATGAAAAAAAAAAAAGAGAAGAAATGGAGAGAGACAGAGAGAGAAAAAAAAAATTGGCTTAAACCTGCCTTAGTTATAGTCGCTTTTACTTTTGCCCTGATTGTTTGTTAAAAGAGTTTTTGGTTATTTTCAGGCCATAAGTGGTTGAAATTAGTGATTTCGATCATATTAGACCTCTTATACTTTTATGAGGAAAGTAAAATCACCATTTTAAATTTAAGGAATGACAAAATTCCACTGGCGAATTGGAAGGTATATTTTGGACGATTTTCCTTCTATATATAAAGCATGAGGCATGGTTTTAGTGTTAAAATTTTTTTATCATCTTTTATTTTTCCAAAAGTAAAGATTTACTATAGATAACTACTAAAATTCAATAACTTCCAATAATTTCTAATAATTTCTTTTTTATCTGTTATTTCTTTGGCAAAAAAAAAAAATCATACTTCTTTTGTATTTTTGTTTGCAACAAAAAATATAAAAGTTATAATAACTTCCACTGGCATGAATAAATATAACTTAATTTTTTATTAATTTGCACACCATATGGCATGCTTTTTCCATTGATCTTTCTATATATAAAGCATGAGCCATGCAGGGGTGGAGCTAGAAAAAAATTCAATGGGGGCAAATTTAAAATGTGAAATTGTGCTACTTTCAAATTTTAAATCCCTATCAAAATTCTTAATAAAGTTTTATCTATTTGTGAAGGTGAAACAACAAGAGAGCTAGCAATTTTTACAAATTTATATGTGTTGAGAAAAAAAAAACAGCAACTTTTCGAATGGATTTGTATGGTGAGAGCAAATTGGACAAGAGTGAGAAGAAGAATAAAGATAAAGTTGAATCTTTGGTGATTGGTTTTTATTTATATGTGAGAGGCGAAATGAGTTATTTATTATTTTTAATCAATCTTCTTGGAGTAGACAAAGTGATAAAAAAGAATAATATTACTTAAATATGTTTAAAAAGAAACTAAAATCTTGTTGAAGAGCGGTGGGGCAATATTCTCTAATTATAGGGGTAAAGGTATGAACTTGTATGTGTCAAATTCGAACCAGTGTTTGCAACATCTTCTAGCACCATAAAACTAAGCCTCAACCCCTATTAGATTATACTACAGCCCACACCATCCCATCACTTATCTCAATATTAGGGATTCATTCGATCAGCAATCTTACCCTTCAATTGTCAAACATAAAGGGCCGACACTAAATCCTAGAGATGGCAAAATGGGCAAATTGATGGGTATAAATGGAATTAGATTCGTATCAAACCCAATCTCAAAATTGGAAAATCCATCCTGTCTAAAGGATGGGTAACCCATTGAAATTTGGGACAGATTGCTATCACCACTAAATCCTAACTCAAGGGTTCAACCGATCAAACTATGGAGACTACATCACAACACACATTGGTTCGAAAACTAGAGAAAGAGTCCTTAATATGTAAGTGAGGACTCAAAACTAATAATTTGAACTTTTTGGTCAATGATGGATTCCTGACTTAATTACATACTGGGTCTTTTTGGTGAACTCTCTCTGGTGTTTCCCCGAATCTTCTAATTGCGAGATTGGACTACTCATAGGCAAGTGAATTTTTCTCAGAGTTGGATCAAAGAACTTCTCTTCTTGGTGGTGGGCTAAAGTGCCAAGGAGATTGGCTAGTGTTGGACTAAGTGCGCCATGGGTTGGCAGGAGCTTGGAACCCAATTTGGATATTGAAGAAGAGTGGGTCTATGATTGAGAGAAGACATGACCTTGGACGTTAATGTGGGTTTGCATTGAGATTTGAAGTGTGCTTGAAGAAGAGCTTATCTTGTTGGTGATAGACTGAAGTGCCAAGAAGTTTGACTACTGTTGGACCAAGTATGCCATGGGTTGGCCGGGTTTGAAATCCAGTTTGGATGTTGAAGAATATTGGATCTATGATTGGTAGAGGAAATGACATAGATGATATGGTGGAATTGCGTTGAGTATTAAAGTATCTTGAAAAAGAATTTGTTACTCATGAAGAGGGAGATTATTAGACTCATGAATAAAGAATTATGTCTCATGTTAGTTTGAGAGAGAGAGAAAGAGTCCTTAATATGTAATTGAGGGCCCGAAACCCAGCGGTTTAACCTTTTTCATCAATGTTAGGTTCTTAACTTACATATTTGGTCTTTTTAGCAAGCTCACTTGAGTGTTTCTCCCTAACAAGTTGTGATTCAACTACTGAACAAACATGTTTCAAAGTATACAACAATTTAATGACAAATAATGAAAAATGTTTATCCCTAACAAGTTTGTTGTGATCTAACTGCAAGATAAACGTCTCAAAGTGTACAACAATTTAATGACAAATAAACTACAAACATGAAAATAAACGAGACACGAGATTTTTATGAGATTATAATAACTTGAACCTAAATCCAGCCCTTGTATATTTTTTCTTATCTCTTGAGTGTTTCTCCCTAACAAGTTTGTTGTGGTTCAACTGCGAAACAAACATGTTTCAAATTATACAACAATTTAATGACAAATGATGAAAAGTGTTTCTCCCTAACAATTTTGTTTTGATCCAGCCGCGAAACAAACATGTCTCAAAGTATATAACAATTTAATGACAAATAAACTATAAATATGAAAATAAATTGGACAAAGGATTATTATGAGATTATAACAACTTGAACCTAAACCTAACCCTTATATAATTTTTCTCACCTCCCAAGAACTCTCTCTCATCTCATGTATAAGGCTACATAATGCCAACAATACCTTCTCCGATGGACTCTCCGATGGGCAAGGGAAATAGGAAAATTGCAATGTGACTACCTTAAGGGAAGATAAGAAGTCTCCAGGCATCAATTTGGTTCCTTCACGGTTGTCGGCAGGCTCATCTGAATAATCCTGTTAGGTGAAGTTATAAAAAAAAAAAAGGAAAAAAAATGAAAACTGGTTTCAACAAGGGATGATCTCTAACTTTACTATTTCAATTACTTTATCTAAACAGTGCCATAGTCGGTTTGGCAGCAGATGCATGAACTTCCACTCCAGTCTGGACCGATAAAGCTACATACAGAATCTGTTTTATCTTTTGAAAGATTCAAGGACGCCATTTTTGTTTATCACTGCTGTAGCATCTTTCTACACTTGATGCCACAATAATCAATTTCTGAGACTCCATTGCATTACCTTTTGAATTCTCAAATGATGCGCCTATTTGGTTTAGGGGGAATACAGGTGAAAATTCAATTTTCTTGTTACCAAATACATTGAATTATTATTGAAGCCTAGAGTCAATTGCATCTAAGAAGCCCTTGCCTTTTCCCAATTAACTTAGAATTATCGAATTCTATCTTCCAACTAACAAGGGAACCAACCAACCAATTCAAGTTCTAATCCAACATCCAAGTGATCTTAGCTAGTTTCAGTTCTGGTTTTGAAAAATAGGAAGTATGGACCAGAAAAGAAGTGGAAGTAGGAAATTATTGGACGGTAAAGAAGATAGAATCAGTGAACTTCCCGAAAGTGTTTTGAGTCGCATCCTATCCCGTTTACCAATAGAGGATGCTGTTAGAACTAGTGTTGATAAATGCGAGTACAAATGAACTTCCATTTATAACTTAACCTTTGATGAAGGAAAGAGTTTTCGATACTCGCACAAGTGAGGCAAATGGACGCGGCAGAAGGAGCCTAAAAAGACAGATTTTATGGACTTTGTGGACAGAGTGCTTCCTCTTTCTAAGAATTCATCTATCAAAGAGTGTCACCTCTTGTTTCTAGATGCCTATGATTCATTCCGTTTGAAAACTTGGATCACCGCTGCTCTAAGAGCTAATGTCCCGAGGCTTTGTATTTCATACGAAGGGAACTTAGTATTTCCCCGTTGGTTTTTCACATTTGATTCCCTGACGAGGTTGAAACTCAAACTCTGAAAGTTTAAAATTCCAATGACCATATGTAATTCAAACCATCGAACTTTGGATATCCATGATATTGAATTCCAGAACGGTGGCCCTTCTGGCCATATTTCTTACCTACTTTGTCATTGAAGAGTTTCTGTCATCAGATTGCTAATGGAGGAATGTGAATAAGCTTAAAATACAGGCACCAATGCTTGCTAGGTTCGAGATAACAGGCTCCATCTTTGAACATCTGTGAACGTGCAAATGACGGAACAACTGACTGGAAAATAGAGATTTGTAGGGGCAACCTTGCAAATTTCAAATGTAGTGTTGATAAGTTCGCCAATATCTATTTTTCTGGCCTATCAAGAATTGTTGATGCATCTCTAGAGTATTCGGAGCCTGAAATGAATGACAATATTAACCAAAGAAGCGAGACAGGTGTTCGAGCCTGTGATCTTGACAAGATTCTCTGTTTTCATCAGCTTCCTGGAACTATCTACTGATCTGGTCGGGGTAAAGATTCCCCTTTATGCCAGTTTCTAAATCTCACCTCAAGCAAAATTGTTCATTTATAGTTCTTCAGAATTTAAGTTTGCAATTACCTCTTGCTATTCTCTTTCATTATTCACGCAATTTGAGATTGTAGATAAGAATATAGAGGCAAGTAACAGGCTCAGTCTACGATATATCATGACTCATGAGTTAAGACGTCTTGCCATTCTGATAAATGATTAGCTTCATGATGTACATGATCTTGCTAGAAAATACCCCTATGCCTTTTTCTTGTGTTGTATCTTGACTGATGCTTATGGCTGTAAATAAGTCTAATCAAACCAAACATCAAACTATTCAAACTTCTTTGATTATTGTAAAAAGCTTGAAATTGTTTTTGAGCTTGCTTTATTTATTTATCAAGCTGATCTCAAATGAGGTTTTACCAAGGCAAGCTCGAGTAGGTTGCGTTTTCTTATCTACAACTTCTAATTTTCATTTTTATACTTTGAAAGTTGATGCTATTCAAGTTTGACTTGATTAGTTAGCGAACCAATTCTAAACAATCTCTTATTGAGCTAAACTAGTTTCAAGTATGGAGTAGGTTGGTTCACCTTTCAGCCCTTCTAATGCTAGCCTAATTGCCCGATCTCCTCAAGGTACTTGCTGGTGCGAATCCGCAATGTCCTCCTCTTTTCTTTTATGAGCTTGCCCACCTCAAAGTGTATTCAGCAAGCATTCCAATTCAGTGTGATGCAGCACTCATGAAGATGGCACCAGGTCTTGAATCACTTACATTTGCTGGGGGTAAAATAAAGATTACCATTTCCACGCTCCTAAAAGTCCTTTTTTTTTTTTGCAGACTTCGTTAACTTTTGTGTTTATGTGCTTTGGTGGTTCCTTAATGTTTAACCTGTAGTCCTATTCATTGTCTTCCTTGTTTATCTTCATTAAACAGGAATTGTCGAGGCAAGCTGCTGATTACTACGATCAAATTCAATTGTTGCCTGGATATCTATCTTTCCTCAAGGTAATCAAACTGGTATATTTGTACTTTCATAAGCCAACGGAGAGTACTTTGGTGAAATTTTTTCTGCGGAATGCTGTAAAGCTTAAGGAGCTGTTGATTTATTCACAGCATGAGGGGCATAAGGTGGATGAAGTTAGAGATCATCTGCTAATGTTTCTCCAATCCCATGATTGGAGAACTCTAAGAGCTCTAAGAGTCTAATTGCGAGGAGAACTCTAAGAGCCTTGTTTGAATTATGGGCCAATTCCAGTGATTGCAGGTTAATGAAAGTTGCTACTAGCCCACTGAACACTTGTCACCACAAGTAACTGGACAAATTAAAGGGAAATGAAAACTTTTCACCAAGATGACTAGAACAAAATTATGCATTCATTTTTCCATAACAATTAGGGGTATCAAGTGGGCCTTACGAGTTAGATTTTACGAAGTCCAAGTTTGGCTTATAAAAATAAAGTAGCACTTTCATGTTTTGGGACTCAGTATCTAGGCTCAATCTGTAAACTCATACTCAGTTCACCAAAATACAAGAGTTTTGGCCCAATTCGAACTTGGCCCAAATTCACAATTAATACATAATTTTAAAAATAATATACATATAATATTTATATTATTGTATCATAATATATATATGTTATAAACTATTTACATTATAATATATAATTATTAAATAACATACATCATTATGAATTAAAAAAAATAGCTATTTATGTACTTAATTGGTCAGGTCGAGCCGAGTTTTAATCGAATTGAGTCTCTTTAAACTCAAACTCGACTCACAATTTAATCGAGTCTTAACCTTAACCTAACCCTACAGCCCAATAATATGCAAGGCTCGACTCAAATTAATTCGGATCAAATAGGCTGAGTTTAGGTTGATCCAACCCATTAACAACCCTAATGGCAACCACTATTTTTCACTTTCTTTTGGGTATGAAAACAACCTACTTATATAAATAGTTGCCCAGCACTGAAGCCTTTATTCTTTTTTTTTTAATTCTCCTACTACTCTCTTAAAGCCAAGCACATTACCAACTAATTTGTATTTCTTAGACAAGATTATTTCATGCATTTTAGATTATTTTTTATTTTCATGATGGTTTTTCAATTATTTTTGGTAAAATAATTATATTCAAATACTCTATTTACTTAAAATTTTTCATAAAATAATTTAAGAAAATATTTATACATGTACAAGGCAAAAGAAGACATTCCGCAGAAACATTTTATGAAGAGTGCATAAAACAAGTATATTTGTTTATTTAAAATATTGTTTTTCTTAGGTACAATTTTCCAAGGAAATGTTTGTAAAAAGGTACAAAGAATGAGTAAAAAAAAAAATGAAAGACATAAAGAAAGGAAGAATGAAAGGTTGCAATTTTTATAAAATTCGTAAATAAGGCAAAAGGATTAAAAAAACACGTTATTAGCATTACATTGAGGACAATATGTTTACATTGATATTGATGCAGACATGCATCCATATGCACAAGTATTGGTGGCTTTTTCCTCTTTTATTTTAACTGTGTGCACATCTAAACAAGTATTGTTAGCCTTTTCTTTCGTATTAATGCTCAATAATTCTATCTTCTAAGTGAGATATAACCACCATGAAGGTTTGGTAAGGGCAACTTTCATGTGCAAAAAGTTACAAAATTATACAGCTTTTCCACCTTGAATGTCACGGAGTTGATCGTTTTACCAAAACTGTAGCTCCTGGGCTTGAATTATGTCATATCAAGTAATGACAGTTCCATTCAAAGGGTTAATTCTTATACGCTGTCAATTGCTTCAGGCTTGCATTTATGTGATATAGCAGTTCCTATATGATATCGTTATCATTGAGTAATGTGAAGGCAAATAATTGACCTGAATCTGAGCCCTATAACTGGAGCATTTGCACTTGTTATGAATTGTAAACATACCCAAGTCCTTATCCTGCAGAAGTATATCATAATGCAAAGAAATATTGGTCAAATTAGTTTCTACCAGGTCTGTTTCTTTTCTTGTGATTGTGTGCATTGCAGAATACTTGATATCGTAGATGTGAGATTGTATGGCTGTGTGTGTAGATCAAAAGTGAGTACTTTGTAATATTGAAAGTTGACTAGATTAAATATCTTTCTTTACTTCTTTTTCGGGTAAATTACATTTTACCCCCCTGTGATTTACCCTTTTTTTACATAACCCCCCTATGGTTTCAAAAGCTATACAAAACCCCCTCATGGTTTGGATTAAAGTGTCAAAGTAACGGAAATAGTCACTCGTAACGGAACTTCTAAAAATGTCGAAATTACCCTTATAAATACATGACACATTAACCCCCTATGATTTTTATATTTTACCATATAACCCCCTATGGTTTAATACTTTACCATATAACCCCCTTATGATTTTCAAAACATACACATAACCCCCCTTGGTTAATACATAAATTTCAACCTTACATAAGGGTATTTTTGACATTTTAGGTGACACCGTTACGAGTGACTATTTCCGTTACTTTGACACTTTAATCCAAACCATAAGGGGGTTATGTATAGCTTTTGAAACCATAGAGGGGTTATATGAAAAAATGCTAAACCACAGGGGGGTAAAGTGGAATTTGCCCTTCTTTTTCCTATGTCACTTCAAAATTGATTAATACATTCAATCCCAGGATCTACTCACAGCTAATAGAATTGCTGCACACAAAAGGCAATTATGCAACATCCCTATCATTCTGGTACGTTTCTTACTATTTTGATAACCATACATAATTTTCGTCAAAGGAATTCGTAATATCAATAAGGTGACATCTCCAAGTTCTGCATATGAGAGCACTAAAATGCCTTTCCTGTCTCAATTGCTTTATCTGCACAGTTCCATAGTTAGCCTGGTCAGAGATGCATGAACTTCCCCTCCAATATGGAGTCGTAAAGCTACATACTGAATCAATTCTATCTTTTGAAAGATCCAAAGACACCATTTCTTATTTTTCATTTCTCAAGAGGATAAATATGGATAGCATTTATGATATACGATTATTGGAAGAATTCATTTGCGAGAAAAAATGTGGAACCTGTGTGTATGTTTGGAAGTAGTTCATGAACCTCGTACACTGTAGCATCTATCTATATTAATGCCACCAATACTCAATTTCTGAGACTCCATCTGATCACCGTTTTAGTTCCTAAATATGCGTACGTATGGTTTAGGGAGAGTACTTGTGAAAAGTCAGTTTGCGTTTTCCTTGTTACCAAATACATTGAATTATTATTGAGAACCTTAACAGTGTCAATTGCAACTAAGCAGACCTTCCGTTTTCCCAACTAACCTACAAATATGGAATTCTAGCTTCCAACGAATGAAGGAATCAACCAACCAATTCCAGTTCTAAACCAAAATCCAAGTGATCTTAGCTAGTTCGAGTTCTAAGTTGAAAAATTGGAAGCACGGACAAGAGAAGAAGTCGAAGTAAGGAATTATTGGACAGTAAAAAAGATAGAATCAGTGAACTTCCCGAAAGTGTTTTGAGTCACATCCTATCCTGTTTGCCAACAGAGGATGCTGTTAGAACTAGTGTCTTGTCAAGGAAATGGGAGTACAAATGGACTTCCATTTACAACTTAACCTTTGATGATAGAAAGAGATTTTGTTACTCGCACAGGTGGAGGAAATGGAAGAGGAAGAAGCAGCCTAAAAAGACAGATTTTATGAACTTTGTGGACAGAGTTCTTGCTCTTTCTAAGAATTCATCGATCAAAGGGTGTCACCTTTTGTTTCTAGACGTGTATGATCCATTTCGTATGAAAACTTGGATCACTGCTGCTCTAAGCTCTAATGTCCAGAGGCTTCTTATTTCATATGCAGCTAGTTCGAGTTCTAAGTTGAAAAATCCAAGTGATTTTGATGGCTTGTTTCATTTAATTTCATAGAATTTAACGAATATATAGCTAGTTTCATATCACATTAATAGGAATAGGATAGTTATAGGTACAGTTAATACATAAGTGAAAGCATGTATCACATATATTTGGAAATTACGTCATAACCAACCAAAATAATGAATTCAATTAATTGGTTATTTCATTTGCATAATTAGATAGTAATTCCATAACACTAAGCATATTTGCATGTCAATTATGCATGTCAATTATTACTACTTGTGTTGCATGTTGGTAGTGTAGATCCATTTGCTTTATTTGTAATAATCTAAATAAAAGAGGAGTTCGAATAACACCGGTAGTTGATAATATTTCTTGTGGGATCGACATCTAATATCCCCTATATTTGATAAATGATTTGTATACTTACACAAAATGGGATATTTTGGCTTTAAAAATTTGGTGTAAAGCAAAAGCCTGATCGAACCAATTCATAGCAGAAACTTTGCCAATGTTGTGGAGTAAATTGTTACGAAACATGTATAGTTTTACTACTTCAAGTGTATATTCCAAGTTGTTTTTGTCCAAAATATGCAGCTCAAAAACTTGGACAACAAAACATAATTGATGTTGCAGGAGCAATCATTGCTTGTTTGTAGGCATTTGACTTGTAAACTCAAAACATGGTTGGCATCGAGGAGGAATCATTGCTTGCATAATTTGGTACTTGAGGAGGAAACGTTTGTTCTAGGCATTTGACTCGTGGTGAAGACTTCTACTATCCCGCACTATTTCAGATAATTCCCATCACAGTTTCTAGTTTAAGTTTATACCAAAGTATTATTTTAAACAATGACCCTATGATTCTTGCTCTGATACTATGATAAAGAAGACAACAAATAGTGAAAAAATAATTGGAAGCCATCTTTGCTATATATAAGTGATAAAAGCCAACTTTGCTCAAGACATGTTGTCTATTTTTTTTAAGAAAAAAAAAAATCTATAGTGCAACAACAACTTGCATTTTTCTTTCAAGCACTTCCTTAAATCCTCAAGTGTGAAGAAGCTAATTTACAACACTAGTGGAGAAAGATACCTTCCTGGTAAACGAGTCATGCAACAAACACTACAATGTGGTGCTGGTGATGCACTCAATATTCCCAACCAGAATTGGCCTATTTCTTCCCCTATCTGGGGTATGGTTCAGTAATTGATGCCTCATTTACAGAGCTTGGAATTCAAATTCTTTCGGTATTAGATTGCTCAACTTCCAGCTCTTCCACAATGCTTTCCGATCCATGGCTCCGGAAAACTGCTGGACGATGTGGAGTTGGTATGGTAACAGAGCTACTATTGAGCATATTGACCACGGAAACCATTGTAGGCCTTTTAAACAAATAGGTAAATTACATTTTTAGCTTTTAACATATAAATGCACTCTCAGTTTAGTTCTTAAATTTTTATTGTGGACACTTCACCCTAAAGGTTTTAAATTGTCCCACTTCAGTATAATTATTAATGAAATCATTAAAACAAATGGAATATTCCATCCCACTTTGATCATTACTTGCCATTATCCCATCAGTTTTGACAATTGACTGAGTGATTGTGATGATGTGTGACAAATGTGATGCATTAGGAGGTGAAGTATCCAAAATTAAAGTTTAAGAACTAAAGTTTGAGTGCGTCTGTGATTTAAGGGTCTAAACTAGAATTCACACCAATTAAACATTTGTCTAGAGGCAATTTGTCTGTCATTTCCATAAAATGGCAAGTCAAGTAAAATAGAACAAGATCACATGGAACAACAAAAAATTACTATAAGTATGTCTAGATTGAACCCACCAAAGAGAAAGTAGTCAAGGCTTTTGTTAGGAACAAATTCATAGATGAGTATCTTTTCATCTCCTTCCAGGCAAAATCCCAATAGTCGAACTAGATTTCTGTGTTGAAGCTTTGCAACTACTACAATTTCATTTTTAAATTCTTCTGCACCTTGCACTGAGCTCCTTGACAGCCTTTTAACAGCTACTTCTTGTCCATTACCAAGTACACCCTGAGTAAACATGCATACTAGAATTTAATTGAAATATTAAATGTGTAGATATTCAAATTCACAAAAGCAAAATATTTCATGCAGAGACCTTGTATACACGACCAAATCCACCTTCGCCAATTTTGTTATCCACAGAGAAGTTATTTGTGGCAATTTGAATTTCAGTTAAGCTATACTGTAAGGATTCGGCTGTAAAGATTTCAGCAACTCCATCTACACCAGGGATAAGCGACTTCACTCAATTTATTAGTACAAAAATCTCTGAGGTTTCCTGTAATTGCAATCAATAAACTTTACCAGTTGCCTCCTGCTGTGCCATAGCAGCATATCGCTTCCCTGATCTTCTTTTCAGGAAGACTAAAGCTATGATAAATAGCACAAAAGCAACCCCGATTAGTGGGACAGCAATTGGAAAAGCTGCTCGTAGGGGTCTTCGCCCTTTGCCTGGATTAAAGGAAGTTTAATTTACTTCAAAAGTCAGCTCATAGGAGATCAAGTTTGCTGAACTTTGGATTAGTGTAACTCCGAGACAGCCCATTACATAGACGGATAGCTACGCAAGAACACATTATTTGAAAAAATATTCATTCAGTATGCTTTAAAAGTTTTTTCGCCACCTTTTCGTCTCACATACTCCATGTTGACGGTAAATAGAAAAAAATTTTGACGATCAATTTTCAATCCCAGCATACCAATTGTTCTAGTTATGGATTAATAGACTTCAGTAATTAGCTTGGCTTCCCTGTGGCTTCAGTAATTTACAAATTTAGCTCTGTGTTTGGACCAAATTACAACTACGCTTGTAAATGCGGCTGTCCAGATCCAACCGTTGGATATAATCAAATGACAATAATGGCCCACTTTAAAAAGACTTGGAAAATAAAAACCAAAACAAATGGGATAGCGTTTTTAGGCACAAGAATTGCTAGCAAAAAAGCCGAAGATAATTAATTACTAAATTTAGAAAAGTTGGGTGGCAAATTAGCAAATAGGTGTTTCCCCCAGAAGAACAAGAAAGTACGTATCAGAATCGAACGAGATAAAAGACAAAGAAGTGGAGAAGAAACATTAAAGATAAAGTAAAGGAAGATGCACCAATACTAAGAAGAAAGAAATACAAGATAACCAAACCAACGGTGTGGAAAGGCAAAATAAAATGAGGAAAAAAAAAAGAAGAAGAAGAAGAAAGCACCTTTTCGTCTCAAACCTTATTTACTCCATTTCAGATCTATTACAACTGCCACTGCAATCACCATAACCACCTCCTCATTTTAACGTACCTATTCCTATTCAATTCCCTCGAGACTGGTATCACCAAGTCATTTTCTCCTTTCTACTTTTTCCTTCGCTTCATAAGCATACCGACATACATACATACGCGCGTCACGCGTATATACATACATATATGGTATTATAGTTGTGGAATTTGAACATATGTAATGGTAATGCTGGTAGATGAGATTTGGGCATTTTTGTTTCCTTAGATGGAAAGGTAATGTAGTTTTTAAAAGGGAAAATTGTTTAAAACATTTTTCACATTTCGTTTAATAATTTTTTTGTTATTCACTTTTAAAATTCTCAACTTAAATTTTTTGATAATTTCTTATCCTGAATATGATCCACACATGATTAATTTTTTGGGGCAAAAAAGTGAGACCCATCTGCAATTAAATAATCGACTCGATCGATATTTTTGTCCTTAAAAATATAGGATTTTATTCAATCATATTCATTTTTTTTCTAAAAAAGTGGGATTTGACTCAATTTGTATTTGTTTTGCCATTAAAAAAAATAAAATTTGACATTTTTGTGCATATAAAAAATTATTGCATGTCAATCATCGAGTGATTTTAAGTTAAAAGTGGTCAAAAATTTAGGTTTGTACCAAAATTTACTAACTTGAATTTGTAAGGAACACAAAATTAAGATTTTAAAAGTGATTGACGAAAAAATTCATTTGATAAAATGTAAAAATCGTTTTAAATGATCTTCTTTTTTTGAAAACTTAATGTACGACAGAGTTTAATAGTCTAAAATTGTGCTCTAAACGACTAGAGGCCGATCAATGAGCAGATTGGTTCTGTAAAGTAAAGTTGGCTGCTTAATGGAGCTTGGATGCTGGAGCCCTATTGTAACCATGGTTATCAAGGTTCGGATCAGCAAAATCGATTCGGATCGTATATAGAATCGAAAATTGCCTTAATTTGTATAGGATCGTTAGCATCGTTCGTGGGATCGTAGGATCATATATAGGATCGTACGATCCTACGATATCCCATTGTGATCCTACGAATTTTTGAGAATTTTGTAAATGTAGGGCTAAATGGAAATATTTTGAGCATTTTTGTAATTTATCAAAGAATTAGATCCTTTAATTATAATTTTGCAACAATTTTTGTCTCAAAAACAAATTAAAAGGTACAATAAAAAAGGATTCGGGAACAAATGAATGAAACAAGCAGAGACAAAGTCACAAAAGACGAAGAGAGAGAAAGATTCTTTGGTTCTTCCCAATCTCCATTCCATACTTTTGCCCTATCTAGATTCCAATAAAATTTCACAAAATCACTACAAGAAAATTGGTCATCAGTGACAACTTTTCTCTGTGACGAAAAAAAGTTGTCACAAAAGTGGATCCTTTATTGACGACTTTCTAACTCGTCACAAACCTCTAATGGGAGCCAACTCATTTGTGACAACTTAGAAAAGTCGTCACTAGTAAATTCCCGCCAAGATTTAGCAAGAGCGCGGGAGTGTTTGGAACACACAATAGTGACGACATTAAAAACATCATCACTATTGCTTGGCCTAGTTACGGACAACTTTTTGTTGTCGTCACTGATCACTAAAAAAAAGGTTATTAGTGACAACATTCTCTAGTGATGACAATAAGTCGTCACAAAAGGGGTTTCTTTAGTCGCGACACCTAAAGTTGTCACAATTGCATCAAAGCAACTAAATGTTTAGTGACGACCCGTTATTTTCGTCACAAACTACATTGCAAGAAATATGGTCATTAGTGACAACATTTTTTAGTGACGACAAAAGTCGTCACAAAAAGTGGTTATTTAGTGACGACAAGGAAAGTTGTCATAATTGCTCAAAGCAACTAAGTCTTCAGTGACAACCTTGAAAAAGTTGTCACTAAAATGATCTATATAGTGACAACTTCTAATATCGTCACTGTCACTCTACCGATTCGGATTTAGTGACAAGAATTAATCGTCACTGTTTAAAGTACTTATTTCTAAGTCACTTTCATTAATTCTACTGTGCCACCCTAACTTTTGCGATTTAGCCCCAAATGTTGTAATAAATTTCATTAATTCCATTATGATACCTTAACTTTTTCAATTTAGCCCCATATGTAGTACACCGATTTCATTAATTCTATTATTACTCCCTAACTTTTGTAATTTAGCCCCATATGTAATTCACCAATTTCATTAATTCTACTATGGCACTCTAACTTTTGCAATTTAACCCCCATATGTAATACACCAATTTTATTATTTCTATTATGGCACCCTAGCTTTTACAATTTAGCCCCTATTTTTTTATTAGGAAATTGCGAATGGTATCTTGATAAACTATGCATAAATATTTTATAATTTTCTCAAACTTAAGTAATAATTTGTTATAAATTCTAAAGATATATCTTTCATTACAATAGTTATAAGGCAGACAGGTCTTTTTATCAATGGAATAAGAAATTTATGGCAGATTTATCCTTTGTGCTACATGCCAAGTAGTATTAGCAAAGGAATAACAAAGTACTACAAAGCAATTAACAAAATATCTGTAATTTATACACATTTTGCAACTACTACTTTGTGTTTTCTCTGTAATGAATTTTTTAACTATTGAGAACTTAAGTTTTGTCTTGCAAATCTATACTAGTACAATAATTTTAAACAAAATTAAACATTAAAATAAATGTTTGAAAAAGAACAAAAGTACATTTATCACTTGCAGTAATGTAACAAAATTTTCTCAACCATTATCAATATTTTCACAAAAGTATTAAAAACTAGCAATTGACAATATTAAAAACTAGCAATTTAATTAGTGATGACTTTTCTTGTCATTATAATCTTGAATAAATTAGTGATAACATTATGTCATCACTAAATTTTCTTTGATTTTGACTTAACAATAATGTCTTATTAATAGCATTTGATTATTTTTAATGAAAGTCTGTTATAACCATAGAATTTGACTTTCGTTATTTTCAATTAATGATGTACTTTAGTGCTGCAATTATAAAAAATTGCAGGGCTAAAATATTTGCAAATTATAAAAGTATATTTTCACTTATATGTAATTAACAAATTTTGCCACCTATATTGACGAAAATTTGTGTTTTTGTACTAAAAAATAAAGAATAATACTATAGCAATAAAATCTATGCTTCAAACCAAATTAAAAATAAAAAAAAAACATGATGATTGGTCTCAAATGTTGGGAAAATGATTATTTTTATTGAAACTATGTGTAGACACCAAATTTTTGTTTTTTTAATTTTATTTTGTTTAATTAATTTAATAGGTTTATTTGTTTCAATTCTAGGGCTTTTATTTTTATTTTTATTTTATTTTATTTTATTTTGCTCTAATTCATTTTATTTTATTATTTATTTTTGTCTCGTACTAAAAAAAAAGAGAAAAAGAAAAAGCAAAAAAAAAATAATGACAAATGGGGATCATGGATAGAGACAAGTGTCCCTTTTTGCATTTGACAACACCTCACCTCACCTAGATGGTGAGGTGTCTAGACACTTGTAGGATAGATATTTTGAAAAGGAAAAGAAAGAGAAGAAAAGGGCAACGGGGCTTGAAAAAAAAAGGCAAGACAAAGAGGAGGGTTTGGCGGCTGAGTAGGGGGGGAACCTGGTTGGTGGCCGAAAAGAGAAAAAAGAAAGGAGAGAACCGAGAGGGGAGGACGGCTGGAAAAAACAGAGTAAAAGAAAAACCAAGGGGGTGGCGGATGAAAAGGAACCGTGGAAAACGAAAAGGAAAAAAAGGAGGTGCTTCATCGGAGGCTAAAGAAAAAGAAAGAGAAAGATTGAAAGGAAAAAATGGGAAGTTTAGCGGCTGAAGGCTGAGGAGAGGCTTCGGCTGAGTGAAGGGAAAAGGACGGAGAGGGAAGCTCAACGAAAACAAAAAACAGAGAAAAGGAAAAGAGGGTGGCGGCTGACGGGCAGAGGAGGAAAAAAGAGCAAAAACGCAAGGGGAAAACAGAGGGGCTGAGAACAAGGAGAAGAAAAAGGAGAGAACCGAGAGGGGGGCTTCGGTGGGGAAAAACAGAGAAGGCCGAGAGAGGTTTGGGCTAAAAAGAACAAAGCAAAGGAAAGACAAGGGGCGGCGGAACAAAGCAGAAAACTAAGAGGAAAATGGACTGCTAGGGTTAGAGAAAAGGGAGACGCGAAAGTGAAAGGGAGAACT